GCTTCTAACAATGTTTTATCTTTTTCTCAAGCTATAGAGATAATTACAGATATCTTTTATAAGAGAGAGCACAAAAAATTACTACCAATTTAGAATTTTGAAGAATTTCATTTATTTATGGAGTCAAAAGATCAATGATTGAAATCTTTCTTTGATGAACTATATTTATCAACTAACCTATTGAAAAAAAGCAAAAATACAATGGAAAAGGCATCAAAACAATTAGTATTTTTATGTTACTTTATTTGTAGTATTAGAAATAAATTTGTTAATGATGTAAAAAGAGATTTAGAAATGTATTTAGATTTTACTAGAATGCCTGATTTGACAATTGACACCTTAGCAACATTGGGATTGACAATGACATCTCATTCGATCGCTTACCATAAGGATTCTGTGTTCGAAAAGCACCTAATAACTGTGAAAAAAAATCTTGAAGATGGTCCTAATGGCGTGTTACTTTTGAATATCGATGATTATCATAACATCCACACTATAAAAATGCTGACTACAACCAAGACATCTAATCCAATACATTTCGTTACTATTTTGCTTAATCCAATCAAGACTCAACCAGCAATTCCAAGACTAGATATTCACAACCTCACATTGGTTGATGCTTATTTACTCAAAACTAAAATTGAGAATCATTTTATGTCAGTATATTCACTCACTCATAATCGACGTTGGAGATTTCATTTCGTAGATGATGAAACAAAGCTTGAAGAATTGACGGTTCATAGTTATAATGTTCATTTGAAAGAAAAAAGAAGCGTAAGAGCAATAAAAGACACTGTATTTGTGGATCTGGTTGAAAGTGATCTTCATTCAAAAGAAGATTATATTAATGCTATTAATATTGCTTTGTCAGTTTCAACAATAAATAGATATATTGAAGATGGCAATGTTATCCCAGTTGTCGCCGATTGGCCCGATCAAATATGCCTAAGAACTGTTATATCACGGTATCTTGTTTATGGTAACTCTTCTGGAATCACTAACAAAATTTTATCATTTCTTCTAATGATAGGTCCTTTGCACATTTCACTTAATAGTCGAGAATTAATACTCCTTCAGTACCATCTGTTCTTTTCTGAAATATACACATACGTATTTGGTGCAAAAAAAAAACTTCTTCAAAAACCAAAGCCATGATGCATAAATTTACTATTAGAACTTTTGCGTAGCATCTGGCAAAAAGTCGCCAAAATGGTCAAAATAAAGTTTGGATCCGCATGCAAAGATGCGGAATACTTAATGCTTAAAGATCTATTGGATAATACAATTCCATTAGTTCTTGATCTTTATGCATTATTTTTTCGGCCTGGCAATTTTAATTCATACATGGAATCTTGTTTTCGGGTTTGGGTTATTTTCCATAAGTTTTACTGTAAAAATTATACTAAAGCGCTTCTAATGTTTCTTTCAGATATGTTTTATTGGCAATCCAATAACCATCCAATTCTAGAGACTATGAATACCAAATTACCGAAATTCTTTGATACACCCGTAGAAATATTTCACAGCCTATTACGACACCATACAGAGAAACATTTTACTGCAAAACAAATAATTAAAGAAGCACAGCATATTAACTACTTACAATTTAACGATGATGGCTTTAAAAAAAATTTTGTTCACACTACATCTTGAGTAGTCTACCAATATTCTTCACAGAATATTAAAACTTTAACACAAAAGACTGCATGCTTTCTTCTCAAATGTTTTTCTAATATTTATACTCATATTAATCATCAAAAACTTTCATTTTTAATTTCACTGCAGGTTGTAATGAAATGTCCATTAAAAAAAAGGAAGACAGAGGAAAATGCTAATACTGGAACCAGTATTCCAATCCCAGCAATGAAAATGAAGGAGGCGTGGCTTTGTCATCTACCCTTAGAATATAGTATTTCGCATAAGCCTAGTTTGTCTAGTTGTGATTCTTCTAATTGTTCTTTTACTAACACTATTATCATTAAAGAAACAGGACAGGTATTGCCGTGTAGTCATACATATCACAATATATGTTTTAATCAAAATGGATCTAAGTGTTTGCATTGTTTAAGCTATATTAAAAACAGAGTTGACATACATGTTTAATCGCTCTTAGAAAGCCTAAGTCAACAATTCAAATATTAAAATTGAAAGCGAAGACCCCAATTCTATTATTGAAGATGATGATGATAAGGAATCTGCTAATGATATTTCGGCTTCTTGGAACGATATGATATGGAAATTTCTTTTATTATAATTTTTTTTTGTTATTTTTAAAATTTTTGTATTATTTTTTATTAATTTACAAAATAAAAAATTGGTTGAAATAAATATTGCTAGAGTATTTCATATACTAAATAATTAAGTTTATAAAAATTACTAGTACAGATTTTTTATGTATTATAATTAATACTCGACAAGATTCTCTAATCAAATCTTAAAAAAATTCAGCATAATAGCGACTACACTATGGCAATTGTTTGTACAAAATTGTTAGAAAAAAATCGGTAATATGTGAATTGAATCAATTTTTTGATCACTTTTTTTGATAGTATTATTAATTAGTATCGGTATATAAATTATACAATTAATATATAATCGATGACTTATGTAATAAAAACACGTGAATCGGATCAACTAATCAAATTCTGTAAAATTAAAAAATCGATCTACATCGATCTACAGAAAATCAGCCAATTAGACAAACTTCTGTCTATGACTGCAACACTCCATTAACAACCCTAGGGATCAGGGTCGGAATGCATCAGAATCCTGGCCGAATGTGCCAGAATTGATTAATTTTGTCTAAAAATTTTACCAATGAAGTCATAGCCCATTAGCGCTAAGAAATAATCGTTAGCGTTAGGTGCTACATTAAAATTCTTTTTTAGGAGGTTTTGTGTGTCATAATTTTTATTTTTGGTAAATGATCTTCCTTAAGTTAACTTTTTTTGGTATTTTCATGTTTCACAAATTTCAACTGATTGTATGTACTCTATATAACGCTAGGCGCTAGGTATTTGAGCTTTCGAAGTGCAGCGCTAGCGAAATATGCACTCAAAAAATTTTTCACTTGTCGAATAACTGTTAATTATATAATAAAAACAAAAAAAAAAAAAAAAAAAAAAGATTGATTAAACCCCTCAACCTGGAATTGTAAATATATTTACGACTAAAAAAAAGGAAAAATAGTAAACTGATCAGCGCAAAATGGCGCATTAATTACTTTCATTTGCATACAATAATGGAAAACAACTATTTTTATCATTATTTTTCATTCTATTGACTAAAAACAGTAATTAATCAAATTTTCGATTTTATATTGTTTTGCCAAAAAATAATATTCCATTAATAAAATCTAGGAGAATAAAAACTGATTATTACTTTAAATCTATTTAAAATTTGCTTCCAATCAACCGGTTTCTTCAAAGCTTTTTTTTTTATTTTTATTATGTAAGAATCGCTGTCTCCAAAATCCCTGAAGACTAATGAAACTACCTAAATCGAAATAATTAAAAATTCGTTCTCCATGATTCAAATTATTTATTATAATTCACATAAAGAGAACAAGTATCGGTTAAATTAAATAATGCGATTAGTCATGTCGATTTTTAATTAAAATTCTTTCACGCATTGGTTATTATTTTTAATCTCCCAACCAAGGGCCAATGAATAATATCCTACTTCTAAAATGTGTATAAGCATAATAACAATAAAAAACTTTGCTTTTTCTGTATTTTCTACAGGTCGTAATATTTGGTTATTCGTAAAATCATATAACTTTGTAAATAAAGAAAACAAGTATTGGTTAAATTAAATAACGCGAATAGTCGAGTCGATTTTTGATTAAAATTCTTTCACTCATCATTTATTATTTTTAATCCCCCAACCAAGGGCCAATAAATAGTATCCTACTTCTGACTAAAATATGTATAAGCATAAATAATAAATAAAAACTTCGCTTTTTTCACAGGTCGTAATAATATTTTGGTTATTTGTAAAATCGTAAAGACTTTGTAAATAAAGAAAACAACGCTTTAATTAGAAATAGAGATTAATAGCAAGTTGATTGAATTATAAAATATTAATACTTACCGTAATAATGAAAATGTAAAATAATAAAGAAAGTATAAAATCGTAGTTATAATAATAAAATAAAAATAAATTTCAACTTAAAAAAAAAAAAAACAAAAAAAACAAGGAAGTATAAATATACCTTGGTTCAACGTCCATCCCAGTTCGAAACAATTTCGAAATAAAAGAAATAAATGTAATAAACTAAAAAAAAAACAATAATAATGAGATACTCTAATAATAAATAAAAAATTCACAAAAAATAAAACCAGAATAAAAAAAAAAATAAAAATGACATCATTTTCTGTGCTGTTTCCTTCATCAAAAGTTTATTGGAAACAAATAAAGTTTGTAGCGGGACCGCCGTTTATTAAACCGGAACGAATGAATTTGTTGAATACAAATTTAAAGCGTTTTGGTTCAGCGAGACGACTCTTGTCGAAGAACTAACAAGATCCAGCATATCATTGATAGTCGGGCGGTTTTGTTTTAATGACAAAGATCTAAATATAATAAATAAAAAATTGGTTTAATATATATAACATTCTCACATAAGATTTAATTGAATTAATAAAATAAACTACTCAAATTTCTCTACAGTCTAGCCTCTCTATAGTTATCCCTTTGATTACAAAGAACTTTGTTCTCATGAAATATACCCAAATAGAGGTTAACACTCTCAAAAGCGTAACTATAAAGAAAAAAGGCAATTAAAAAATAAATGTGTGAATCTAAATATACTAATTTTTTTTTTTTTTAATTCTTTTTTTTTTTAAAATCTTAAATTATCCAAGGTTATGATCAAGCAAAACACTCCTCTCAACATCCAAACGATGGAAGACTTCCCAACTGTGTTCGACCTCCCTATATCGCCAGCATTTGGCGTTTTCATAGCCGCTGTGCAGGATCCCAGTACCACAGAAAGCTAAATGACCTTCTTTCGCCTTAAAAGTGATGCCTATGACAGCGTAATGGCATCCCAGATTGCTATGTCAGTTTTATGCAAGTATGACCCGAAAGGTCGACACGCGAACGTTGCTGAAGCTACGAAACGTCAGCCAATAATCTCGGTTGCTGGGAAATTGGTGATATTAAAAAAATCGGTATGCATAGTGTGCAACGTTATTGAGTGGAGTTATCCCAGCCAGGGATCTTTGAAATCTGGCAGTGATGCTTCCACATCGAAAAACAGAAGATTTAGAAACAAGGAATTAGAAAAATTAGCGGAGAAACTCGACCCGCCCAACAAAACATTCAGAAAGAGGAAAGAACCCTATAATGAAAATGCTCAAGAAGAAAGCTCTTCAAGAGCAAAAAGGTTAAGAATGGCGGCAGATAATATTAATAAAGATAATAAAATAAATTAATCTAAAATCCGATAAAAAAAAAATAATCAGAGTAACGCTCAAATTGTCAATGACATGAATTATCTTCACCAATTAAGTAATATATATATTTATTATTTACATTCGCAAACTATAATATATTATTACCTGATTGGTAAAGTATCAACAGTAATAACCGCATTACTATCCCTTTATATATTTACCCTAATAAAACAATTAATGATCATTTTAATATAGTAAAGGGCTAAAACAACAAACCACATATTTAAAAATAAAAAAAAAATCTTATTTTAGTACTTACGTTGTCAATTGAGTACAACCAAGTAAAAACCTGCAATATTATAATACTTACGTGGTTTTTCTTGATAGCATGTAGTTTGTTACACTTATATTAACCAACACTTTAAATAATCCAGAATATAAAAATGCAAATGCCGTCACTCATCCGAGACCCGAAAATGCGGAAGCCGATACTAACCTAGACCCCGAAAATACAAGAACCGATACCAACTTAGAACCTGAAAATGCAGAAGCCAACACTCAGGATAGCGCCGCGAACCAGTCGTTGGACAATAGCAAAGATGACCAAACCGTCTATAAAGAAATTTCTAGCGATCAAGAAGACGATAAGATGTTCAATAGCACTCACTCTCTCTAAATTTATACAAATAGATTTAATACCTCAATTCGGGTTTTTTTTTTCTTTTCTCATTATTTTTTTTCCTAATTCCCCCCTCCTTAATTTTTTGTCTCCTTTTACTAATTGCTTAATGTAAATTTCTCCTTTTAATATCATCAATAAAACTTAATAGAATAGTATCCCTAACTCCTTGATTGACATTAAAAAAAATATATATAAATATAAATAAAAAAGGTTCGAAACCAACTAATAAATTACGCGTAAAATGCCGTTTTAATATCGTGCTAATTAAAATCTACATTACAAGATCAATTAATAAATAAGTCAAAAAGAGATAAAATAAAATAACAAAATAAAAAATTATACTAGTATACAAACGCGTTGTCCTAACATATAAGCTTTCGACCATGACAAAAAACTCGAATTACATTATTCATCGATATTCTATCCACAAATACAAAAGCAATGTTTCATCAGACTCGATTGAAACAGATCAAAACAAACAAAATACTACCGTTTTTCGATCTTATATTTATCATAATGAAATAAATCAGTTTGGCTTAACCAACCCCATGCCAACATTACAGCTTAACCCGCCCGCAATCCTACCTATAACTTTCGCCCGTAGACACCATCTTCCGCATTAAAAAAACTTCTACACGAATTTGAAACAAAAATATTGCATGATCATCCCCATATTCACTGCTGCTACTGTTCAATTTTAATATTCAGTTCTGTGACCTAATGGATAACATATGACCCGAACGAAGACTACACTCTAACTATAGCATTTTCTGACATTCCCATTAAGCTACATTACTTTACCAACAAACCCACCAAAGTAGCCATCTGCAATAGCTGTAAAAAACCAAAAACTAGAAAGTTTTCACCCATTCTATCTGTTATACCTAATGAAATAAGTTTAGTACCAATGTATCACAGAAAATATCTTTCCCCGGTTCATATAACGTGTTCATTAGGTTACACTCCAGGTTCAAATCCATATACAATGTATCGATTCCTACAAGGCGATTTTTTTCTAAGTAAAAATAGTCATTCCCTCAACCTTTACTCTGGTATAGTTGGTGCTATTTTAAGCACTAATGAACCATCACAATGGTATCATGATACCCTTCCTACCACATGCAGTTGGTTAAAGAGAAACAACCCTATATTTCGACAATACATAAACATACCTAACATTAACTTGCCATCGCTATCGGACCCGTTGCCAATCCCCTTACCTTTAGCAAGGCAATCTCAAGGAAAAGCCAACAACGCCCCTTTAAGAAACATATCTCATATTTCCGACATCGTAATCTCTAATAACGTATTTCCTCCTGAAACACACGATGAAGACCAAATATATAAAAGACTCATAGCTGGATTCATAAAATTAGATGACTTGACTTTGCCTATATCTTACAACGACCCTGACCTAGAAGCAATGATCTTTCCCGATTTATTTCCAACGAAAAAAGGTCACTATGAAAACGTACGAGAACAATTAGGTCTTCAAACGAATAATGAGAGCTACAGGAAGTATATTAAACTAAGAATGCTCTGCCCTGACTCAAGATTCAGGTTGTACTGGTACTGGCCACACTGGTTCTATTTGAATCTTAAAAAAAAGCGCAATTTTCAATATAGTTGTAGGTTACTGAAACAAAAAAATATATCGCGAGAACACCACCTAACAAGAGCAGATCTTATAGATATAACTTTGAGCATCTTTTTTTTATCACGAATCCTAAATACAAGTTCCTATAAAACATTGAAGATAAAAAAATATTAAAACAGTATAACAAAAACATTCCACGATTTTAGTCCAAAGTAACAAGTTAAAAAATCTACCAACCTACCCGTAATTTTTATTAACATAACATTTTACAATGTTACTTGAAGGTAAAAGCGTATATACCAGCCAACCTATGATTGCCGAATCCAAAACTACTGCAGTTTGCTCAAGCCTAAGAACTGCTGCCCCTTACTTCAAGAAAAAAGAACTGCAAGTAAATACGATGCTCCGATCATACGGATTACTCCAAATTTTCTATACAATGATGATGCCAGAAGATAAATAGACTCACTTTAAAGATATATTATTATCAACCGACAATGGGGATCCTCTACCAACTAACCGCCCATTACATGTATACCTTTTTTATCATTACAAACTCACTAATGTACGAAACAAGTTATGGAAAAATAATAAATTAACTCAGTAGGGCAAATTCGAAAATTATTTTGAACGCGCCGAATTTCAGAATAGAGGCACTATACATACTCATAGATTCACCTACACTAGCGTCAAAATCTCAGAACTAATTGAAGATAATACAATAAGAGCTGATTTACTGGACCGAACCCAGGAACCTGAGTTATACCATTTAATTATAACTTATCAAGTTCATAGGTAAATGTCGTACTTTTTTTGTCGATAAAAAATTTTTATATGCGGTTTTACTAAAAAAAAAAAATGAACTATCCAAAATACTTTCAAAATTTAAATATAAATCGCTATAACCCTTTATAACAAAAAAAAAAAAGAAAAAAAAAATTTCGTTTACTCTCAAGCATCAAATATTTTTTTATAGCTTGATACTATATATTTAATTAATTAACCTCATATAGTCAATATAACAGTTAATCAAATCCACTACACGCTATAACTCTACTAAATTCACTCACCTCAACAAATCAATATAAACATAAATGTCACCCAAACAAGTGCGGTGGCTCCACTCCTGGTAAACTTTGTAATAAAGGTTTTCCTCAACCCTTATCTTACACAACACATAAAGATAACCGATCACTCAGATATATATATAGAAGAACTAAAAAAGAAAACCGTTAGATAGTACCGTACCATCCAGAGACTCTACTAATATGGCAAGGTCACATCAACTTTCAATACGTCACTACGACGGGTTTCGCAAAATATATAACAAAATACGTAACAAAGCCTGAGCCCTCCGAAACTTTCGACATCAATGACCGTGATAGTTATTGAACTCACATTCAAGCACGAAGACTAGACGCAATGGAATTAATGATTTTACTACTCCAATATCAAATAATGAGATCAACAGTCTGCATTCAATATTTACCTCGGCGCCTTTGCATTTATGCACTAGATCGGTAAAACCTATTCATCTACAACTAAGAGCCCAAGAAAATGAAGAAGACGATGAAGGAAACCCTTCTGGGATGACGCAATAGATAAATACTTCGATTGTCCTAATAATAACGAATTCGTAAATATAACATACCCTGAATACTTTCAAAACTACAACATAAAACTTACACCTCCATCCCAATCAGTAAGACGAACTTTCACCAGAGACCAGAAAAATCGTTATATAACAAAAAGAAAGAAACCCCTACTTGTAAGATTCATAAACTACAAAGTAGAAGATGATAAGTCTAATAACCTCATCATAAGTCAGATCTTAACCCAACAATGCTACGCAAAAAAAAAAAAATATACCTTTCCGTGTATAAACTAAACATACACTGTTAAATACATAAAAATACTTCTCTGACACCCCAGAAAACTTTATACTTAATAAACCTTAGAACCATGTAATTGCTTAACATTACATTAAAAAAAATAAAATAAACGTCATAACCACAAAAAAAAATATTAATTTGTTGTTACAATGACACATATTTAGGCGAACTGTTCTTCTTTCAACATCTCATAATGAAAGTTCCCTCCTACTCAGAAGAGGAACTATTCGAAAACCATCAAAGTTACTTCGAAAGATTCAAATCATTATTTTCTGACAAATACAAACAAGAGATGAGTAGATTAACCAATACCACTATATCACAAGAACTCCATACCTCGAATGCCTACAAAGAAATAATAAAAAGGATATTAACCAATCTGAATAATATAGAAATTCATGACTTAATCCTTAAGCAATTAATCTCATTAGAACATAAAACTCCATCTATCGACTCACATTGTACTGTAATGTTAGACCAAGACCAATATTTAATATACGACATTCTCTGTAATTCATGGAGCCCAAAACACAAAGGAAAATACCCTTACTTCTAACTGGATCAGCTGGTACGGGTAAATCGTATCTCTTATACTTAATAATCAACCTCCTGAAATCGAAAAAAATCAACAATATCGTAATCGTGCCAACCGGGATAGCTGCACAAAATATTGACGGTAAAACCATCTATTCAGCTCTAAAAATAAAACAAACTCATTACTATTACAAGACCTTAATAGCCCATGATCAAACTGCGAAAGAAAACCTAAAAAAAGTAGAAGCCATAATAATCGAAGAAGTGTCTATGGTCTCTAGTGATTTACTCTCGTTCATAAGTAATATATTCAGTTCGATTTATAATAATTCTAAAATATTTGGGGGAGTTCCTATACTTCTAGTAGGCGATCTCTTTCAATTACCACCAATAAATGCACCGTACACGTTTCACTCACCTGTCTGGAAAAGATTCTTCTCCCTATTCCTAACCCAGCCCAAAAGACAAAGAAATGACCCCAGTTTCTATAATCTTCTCCAAGAATTACGATATAGCCGCCTATCTAAAAACTCAAAGAAAATGATTGCTGATAAGATTGAAAACTCAAATCTAGAATACAGCACTATTACTTCTACTCATCTCGTAGACATACGCGAAATAGCTAAAGAGATTAACAAAATAATATGCGAAAACCTCCCGAACAACGAATACAGAATAAGCTCGGTAACTTCAAAAGCCATTGACACCCTCAATCGTAGACCACTAGACACTACTAACCATATCAACCTAAATTTTAATCGTTATACAAACTTACCCAACGAATTGATTTTAAAAGAAGGCGCAAGAGTTATGTTCCTAAACAATAAACTATTTGACCACAACATTTGTAATATCACAATCGGTATAATTACTAAAATAATAAATGAACAAAACATTGAAGTTATGTTCCCAACTGCTACTGATATCATTAAACTAAACGTACAGAAAGAAAAGGTCTACTTTGATATTAACAGAAATCCAGCGTCAAGATATCAATTTCCTCTCCAAAACGCATTCGCATTTACAATCCACAAAACCTAAGGATTAACCTTACCTCACACAACATTAAACGTAAACTAAAAAATATTTGCAGAAGGCCAAGTATATGTCGCAATGAGCAGAGCTCCCATGTGGGAATCCATTAACATTATTAACTTTGACTTTAGCTCAGTTAAGACAAACGTAACAGTAATAAATGAATATGCATGATTAAATGAAATACACAGAAAAGGATTACCAAACATGTTAAATAGATAGTCTTATATAAAAATTCTTACTACGCGTTTTTCTACGTGATCTGATCTACATAGTAGTATAACAAATATAAAATCATATACATAAAAACAGCCAATCAAAACACACCATTCTGTAACGTCAAAAGAACAATGTAGCAATACACGTGATTCTAATTATATTACATATATATATAACTTATGATTTACAATAATTTAAATGGTTTGCTCAACTGCTTATATAGATCTAAAATCAACCAAAGAAAAAAAATAACAAAAAAAAAAAATAATAATAAAAATTAAAATAACGAATATAAAATAAAGTATAAGAAAAAACAATCAAATTTCACCTTTCTAAAAAAAAGGGCAAAATCATATTACAAATGCATCACAAACCAGAATGACCATCCAAAATTCATGCAGTATGAAAGCAAATCATTTCTTACACGATTACACTAAACTACCAACATCTATCACGTTCACTCAAAATTTAAATATACTCATTAAAATATATATATATATGTATCGCCAGCCTTATAAAATTGAATAGCGATTATAATAGCAATTATAGAGCGCTATATTACAACGTAAGCTACATTTAATTTTCACTCTTCAACTTCACATAACAGTATCTCTGTCAAAAAAATGCATCCAAGGAGCGGCAATCAGGTAATATCGGTGAAAGAGGTAAAGTTTCGGAATTCCGATTCTCATCTTGTAAAAAAAAAAAAAAAAAGAACATATAAGATAAAAAAAAAAAAATGAAATTTAAAAAAAAAAAAAAAAAATTCAACGATACTCACTTCACGCACTCAGCCGAAGTTAATAATATTGCATATACTTGAACGAAAGAAATAAGTCAAAACCTTGAGATGCTCGAAGACATGAGATGATCAAAGAATCACCTTCGGATTTATATATAGTATAACTTGACAGCTTACTCCATATTGAAATCGCTCGTCAATGCCTAACACCGTAATGTGTGTTAAAAAAAAAAAAGATTTAATTATTAATTCTATTCTCTATTTTCAGAAAAACAACAAGCTAACAAATTCATCAAACATTACCTAGTAGATGAATTTTTCAGAGAAATTATGAATCATCGTATTCCAATATATGATATCGTTTATTATAAACACCAACAGCACAGTAATAAGAAATTGGATTATAAATAAGCAGAAAAACGAGGGCAAAATTCTTTTAGAGTATGAATTTGACAACAAACTACCAATGAATTTAAAAAAAAATAACAACTAACTTAAAAAAAATAGCAATAATTAAAACAAAAAATTCGGGGTAAATCAATACCAACATGTACCAGCATGTTGGACTATATGTAATAAGCAATAGACACCCGACAAACAAATGATAAGAATCAAAAAACTGAATGAACGAAAAAGACACTCGGCGAAAATACTCCAACGCTGGATGTTCAAAATCAGAAATAATGGGCGAACCAAGTAAAGAAAAAATAGCGGCATTAACAGCAACGATGCAAAGAAGTATGGAAGGCATATTGAAAAATAGCTCAAGAATAGGCAATGAAAAAAAAATTAAATAACACAACTGGCCAAGGCGAACTTTTATAAAGATTCATAACATAAGCAAACTAATTCAATTATCATAATAACACAGAATTATCGCACAACATACTAACCAAAACTCACCTTACTCCCTAACATACAATGACACCCTTAAACAAAGCTTCATTTACGAACTACAGCATTAGCCCAACCATCAAGATCACAATAACTCATCCTCTAAAAACTGCTAGAATGTCAACCCACATTATGTCAAATCAAACGTTTAAAAGTCCAATATCTTCTACAACCCATCATCCAACCCATCACCCAACAATGCTATTCACTATTCCCGAATTTATCAAAACGCCAAAAAAAACATAAGTACAAATTCACTTCTATAGCAAATTGGCTTAAAACAACTCTAACAATTATTTAGTATCTTACACAGGCACTGAATAGAATAACGCACAATAATCACTTAAGAATAATAATCTTTATAAATTCCACAAAAAAAATATATATATATATACCACCTACTCACAATCGGACTAAACAAAAGAACATCACAACCGAAAATCTGAAACAAAACAAACAATAACGCTGAACAAAACCAACAATAATATAAATACTTTTATAACCACTTTGTTTTTCAATTTTACTCATTTTCCTTTATTCTAACCTGCTAACTTCTTTACTTTGTCCTGTAAAATTCACAAATATGCACAAATGCGATCAATACAAAAACTAAAAAGCTTACAGGAAACCATTGAACCAATATACCAGAGGTCTTAACTCCAATTCCCAGTATAATACCAAAAAAAAAAAACAAAATTCAAAAGAATAAACAAATTATAAGAAATATCAATAAAAACCAACATCACATCATCAAAATTTAGATCAAACAAATCTTTAACTGATAAAAATACCGTAATAAACCCTCTACTGTATGTGCAATCGATAAAAAAAAAGCCTCATCACAAAACCTGATAACCACAAATAACAATAACTACAACAAAAAAATCAACTAAAAAACTCTTCAAGCGTATTCGAAACAAATCCGGCTCATTAAATTAACGCCAAACTAAAAAAAAAAAAAATACTAAGCAACTTCAACATATTCCCATTATTTTTAAACATAACAATCAGGCTCGAGCTTTACAATCATAGATCAAACGTAAAATCAACCTTTATTCTTAATAAACTGACCACCTTAACCCTCAAAAAAAATATATATATATTTCTATCGCATTAAAAAAAAAATAAAATAATTTGCTTCACCTAATCTCGAAACCTGATTGGCCAGTACAAAAAAAAACTCCCAGCGCATGAGCAGGCGCACAACTTGTTCATTAAATAAAAATGTCTGGCTGATAATTTTGATATAGACTGTTGGCTAACATTGCTTACAGCTGTTATCATTATTTCTGAAAAACTAACCGAATAATTATTTAGCCGATTCGATAAGTTATTGATTTCGGCATGATCAGTATTGTAACAAATTAAAATTTTATTTTTTTTATCTTATTGTAAATAAACTCTTTATCGTTATTTTCTCGGTAGATTAATAGTTTATTAGTAATCCCTATCAATTCTGATAACAATGTCCAATTTTGGTAAATCTATTAATTTCTTTAGAACATTTCATAACTTATCGATCAGGGGATATGTCACGCTGCAGAGGGGGTTCTGTACTTTGATATAAAAATTTTTTTGTACCGCATGATAAATTTCATATGAATTTCAACGTTTTTCTTCCTTCAAGTGGAAATAACTTTTTTTTTTTTGCTCGAACATTTCTGCTGCGCTTATTAATAATGTAAGCTTTGGTCTTTTATTTGGTTATTTGATGAAGTTATGGTTTGTAGAATGGTTGACTTTTAAAGAATCTTGAATTGAAGTGGGGCAATTGCAATAATGTTATACGAAGTTTTTCACTTACACTTTTTATATTTCTTCTTCCTTAACAGAGTATTATCATATGTATACATAGTGTTTGCAAGGTTCTAATTTCTTTGAAGAAATTATTATAACATAAATGAACAATTTGAATGGTCAAATCCTTTATAGTTACTAGAATAGCTCTTTTTTTTTGTTGTCATTTCAATTTTTTTTTTTTTTTTTTTTTGCATTTCTGTTATAGCGATAGTGTCAAGTTTTTTTTTTTTTTTAATTTTTAGTGATCTCATCTTTGTGTTACATTGCGTTTGTTTTTTGTGTTTATTTTAGCCACCAAATTAAACTTTTTTTTCCTTTAAAAAAAAAAAAATTATTTGATTTTAAATATGAATAACTCAATCTTAAATGGCGAGAGTATTAAAGAAGTTTTTTGTAACAATCCTGATAAGGATTTTGAAATTCTGGACGATTTTAGCATTGGAGACAACTCGGAAAGTCTTGAACAACCAACCGCGTCCTCTTTATCATCTGTACATAGTTTAAACAATGTAGATAATGAAGTACATGATAATTTATGTAATCTTCATTTT